CTCTTAAAGGCAGTGTCCAGGCTAAATCTGAGCCCCTCCAATCAGTGCCGATCCTGAATGTAGGCCCCAAGTAAGGGGCATGTGCGTTGGTCCGGTTCTGTAATGTTGTGTCTGAATGGAGTAATAGCCAAAGTGCTATCAAGCCCCGCCCAGATCCTATCAAGCTCCGCCCACCCATGTAAGCCGCGTGCGCCCTCAAGACAGGGCCCAAGGAATTCGGTTTTTTGGGAGTTTTGGACAACTTGAACTTCATAATCAAAGCAGAGCTCGGAAGGCCCAGAAGGCAAAAAAACATGGGGGGGGGGGAGTTTTGGGTGGACTATGCCTCTAAGATAATATTCTGACACTGAGAGGGAAAAGTGGGTGATGAGGAGATTAGGACCAGAAAAAGCTATATTTTCACCAGTGCTTCTGTCAATCAAAAAAAAGTACTAGTAGCCAGAAAGCAACGTTGTATGTTTGAGGTATGAAGTTGAAAAAAAAGAGAATGATGATTGGATTTGCTGGCTTACAGACAACAGCAATAACTGAACAGCTTCTTTATGTAGATTTAAAGTTTGGTCATACGTGAAACTTCCTGAGAGCCCTGCCTCCATTGCAAAATCCACAAAAACTCTCTAAGCGTGGAAGCCAATTATTGTTCCCCTTTTATCTCGCATTCATAATTTGAATATCTTGAAAAAGCGCGAAAGACGAGAGACTAGAAAGAGATATTCGATTCCCGCTGCGATGTGACGCATTGCATGGTTTCTTTTCGAGTTAGGATTTATATCACGTTTTTTGTAACTTTCTTTACGGATTGGTTTGGAAAAAAATTGGACGCTTCTGATTTGCGGTGGCCAAATCATATGTTGTGTGAAACTTTCAGGAAAGTTGGCTTTGTCTCACTGAGTGGAACGAAATTGCAAAATTCAAAAAGAATTGACCAATGAACATGGTTTTATTTCGCAACATTTGATAGCAAAATCGTAGATCCGCTGCCACTTTCAGCGCTAATTTTCTCAACTTGTCTCTTCGAAAAATTTCGCTCTTTTGCTTAACTAACAACGTTATCAAAGACAAACTACTCCTCAATGATATTATGACTCGAAAATTGTGCCGCACTTTTTTTTCCAAAAGGAGCTTTTTTCTACTTTGAAGGTTTTGTATGAAATTAAACTAATTGAAAAGAGAAACAACTGTTTTCTAAAGGCACTTGACAGTTTTCTAGAGACACTGCATAGGAAAAAAGCACCCGAATTTTGATGTTACAGGCAGGCACACAAAACAATAAAAAAATTTCAACAAAGTTAAGTACAATCGTATAACAATTTCATGGCCCACTCGTTTTGGAGCAAAACAAGTGCTGCGCTGTCGAGCTTCTTTGAATAGTTTTGATTTCCGGGAGAACTCCACAAAAAACAGCGAAACCGATCTTTTTGGTGTTTTATTTTTCAAAGCACAATTTTCCATGAAGAAGCTCAACCAGCACCAATTCGGCTCAGTTAGAAAGAGAACGTCGTAAAATTTATTACACGCATTATTTCGCATTTTACTGTGAAGTTTTTTGGTTTTACGGGCCCTCAGGATTATTGCTTCAACGATTTTCCTTCAGATTCATACAAATTGTGTTCAGTACAAAAATGTCAATGTACCATTAGAAAGCACAAATTTCTTCAAATGTAGTCAGTTGCAAGCAAAACCATCAGGATAGAGAGAAGTTACGACTTTTTGGAAAATCTGCGAACTTTCGCTCCAACTTAATAAATAACTTTTATACAGTGACCGCCAAAAAGTTGCGGACAAGCCGCCTTCCTTTTTTCATCGCTCATTTTCGGATGGAAAACAAAGATGAAAAAATGATTGGATTGCATGAGGTGATAGAGCTCTTCAAGAGTTACAACCCACACATTGCGCTTCTGGAAAATGTTTATTATAAAAACTTCAAAAATATTTTCCTAAAAAAAGTCCGAAAATGGCCGCGTCACATTGTCGCGGACATAATTCTTCAAACGCGAAAAATTTCTTTAAGGTCTTTTCTTGGAGCAGAAACAGAAGTTTTCCGGACAGGTAAGCATTATACTTGGGTCCGAATCGAATAGAAATTCGATCATTCGAATAAAACATTCGAATATATTCGTATTCAAAATTCGATATTCGGAGTTCTTCCATTTTCGAATAATATTCGAAACTCGAATAATTGAGAAAACGGGGTTTCGAATAAAATTCGAAACTCGAATAATCAAAAAATAGGGTTTCGAATATTATTCGAAAACTCTAATAATCAAAAAACGAGGTTTCGAATATTATTCGAAAACTCGAATAATCAAAAAACGGGGTTTCGAATAGATTTTATTCGAATGTTTTATTCGAATGTTTATTCGAATTCGTATTCGAATGTACTCCGTATTCAGATTATTCGACTTTGTTGCAGAGACAAATGCTGAGTATCAAGCTCACTTCGTCCGCGTTTTTTTTGCGCAAAACTCGGTAATGCATCTTTTGCAACCGGTATACCTTTGAACTGTATGGAGGGTCGCATTCTTCCGACTGCTTGACAGTAAAAAATCATATGTGGATAAAAATTGATGCTTTTTCGATCAATGAGATTGTTCGCACTGCTACTGGCATCAAATCAGCAAAGAAGATATCAAATTCAAGCTCATGTTCTGAGTTCATACTGAATTAAAACGGCTGTTCTTCTTTCTTTGCATTGCTCATGCTTGCGGTGCGCAAAGCCCACACTAGTGAGCACTCTTGCTCGCATAAATTATTGCAAAACTGCCTAATCGTTACCTTGGAGTTTTTTGCGAATTGGTGTATATTGAGTAAAGGACATCGCAGTTGTAATGCAGGATTAGACGGTTCAGATCGCCGTACGCGATTTGCCAGTTACGAGATGTTTTCAGATGTAATGGCAGTTTACCACAAATGTTTAGCGTGTACAACATACTAAAATGATAAATGCCCTGCATTCTGTACTATCAGAATAGGTTTTGGACAGTTTGAGTATTGCCATACCACGTCGCCATTGAAATGCCTGCAGTATGCCCGGGGTTATAGGGGTATTCGTGCTCGCTTCGCGGAGGAAACCACATGCCTTCGTCTACGAGTAGCGTATGCCACGCAAGACGAAAGTCTCCGATGAACAGGCAATGTATCGTAGCATTTGTGGAATTTAAGTACATATGTGGCCACCTTACTGCTTCAAAAGATCGCACACCTAGCGCTATGAATCCGAACAGCTCGTTAGGTGCTTACACCAAGTTGCAATGTTTCTCATTTCTAGATTTTAGCCCCAGCCAATTTTATCTTTACTCTGTTAAACGTCTTTGAAATCAGTGGAAGCCTGACAAATAAGGTCTGCTGTCGAACAAAGCGCAGGATCAAGGTGTATAAATGCGGTTCTTACCCGTGCGGTGCATAACGCGCAAGGATCACGAAGTGCAGCCGCTTACACGACGCGCGCGACCGCTCAAAGCTGGCTGGTGCACCTTCACGGATTATGGATAAAAATTTACTTTATCGATTTTATCGATTTTTGGAGAAGTTTGAGCTGCGGGGCTGGGAGTTGGTAGAGGGTAAATGAGGGCGCTGATTAAAAATAAAATTTACCATCGATTTCACCGATTTTTGAAAAATCTTGAGCTAGGAGTTGGTATAGGGGATACTAGGGGGCTGATTATAATTGAATCGGCTTTAGCCAGATATGTCGACAAGTTTGAGATGTGATTGCTTTAGTTATTCGATAAATCATTCGAATATTTATTCGAAATTCGACTTCCAATGTTCGAATATATTCGATATTCATTCATTCGATATTTTTGATTTTCCGAATTTATTCGAAATTCATTCATTCGATATTTTTGATTTTCCGAATTTATTCGAAATTCATTCATTCGATATTTTTGATTTTCCGAATTTATTCGATATTCGTTTATTCGAGATTTTTTATTTTCGAATTTATTCGATATTCATTCATTCGATGAAAAATTATCGAATTACCCAAGTATAGTAAGCATACTCTGTTGTAGAGCTCATCGAGGACAACAATCGGGTAGTAGTTACTTCCAAAAAACCCAAGCTTGAATTCTATTTCGCCTTTTTTTCAAAAAAACTTCTTCCCCTTTTTAAGCTAAATTTCTTCGCATTGGAACCTTTTCAAGAAATCTCAACAATGCTGATTGGATAAAATGGATGCCTCAACTTTAACTTAAAAATCCTCAACCTACAACTAAAGCTGCGCTTTATCACCCCTCCGCCAAATCTCCGGTTCTTCCCCAACTCAATTCATTTGCACTACCTTCGTGTCGAGGAACTCACGCTCTTTCGAATGAACCTACTTGCAGGCTCGCAGAGTGACTGGCGGCCGAGCTACAGGCCCGCAAAGCGGTGCAAGTCAGTGGTGAGATGCAGGTGGGGTCATGTGCATTCACTGTCAAGAGCCATTTTCAGCAAAGAAACTCGATAGCACACGTCGAATGCATAGACGATGTCAAAAGGCATCCATTTTATCCAATCAGCATTGTTGAGATTTCTTGAAAAGGTTCCCATGCGAAGAAATTTAGCTTAAAAAGGGGATTTAGAAGTTATTTTTGAAAAAAAAGCAAAATAGAATTCAAGCTCGGGTTTTTTGGAAGTAACTACTACCTGATTGTTGCCCTCGATGAGCTCTACAACAGAGTATGCTTACCTGTCCGAAAAACTTCTGTTTCTGCTCCAAGAAAAAACCTAAAAGAAATTTTTCGCGTTTGAAGAATTAATGTCCGCGACAATGTGACGCGGCCATTTTCGGACTTTTTTTAGGAAAATATTCTTAAAGTTTTTATAATAAACATTTTCCAGAAAGCGCAATGTGCGGGTTGTAGCTCTTGAAGAGCTCTATCACCTCATGCAATCCAATCATTTTTTCATCTTTGTTTTCCATCCGAAAATGAGCGATGAAAAAAGGAAGGCGGCCTGTCCGCAACTTTTTGGCGGTCACTGTACGTTAATCTCAAGTAATTCGTTATTCCCGCAACGTTTCAGGTAACACTACCCCTATGATATATAAAGGGTACGAGAGAGCTCTTTACCTATTTGTCGCCTTCATTCCACTTTTCTTATGCACTCCAGAGGATAATGAATGTAAGTTTATGTCCGTCATTTTCATCATAGTCATGAGCGCAAAGGGCTAAATAAATATGAGTAGGGCATGGAGTTTTTGCACATTATACTAGCTGACATACCTGGCTCCACTTTTCCCCAATATACTTGGTTGGAAATCACCACTGCCTGGTTTTCACAACATTCCCTTCTCCCTGTCTCATTCCTATATACGAGTTGCCTACCTTCATCACGCTTTCGTTAGGCTAACTCAAACCCTGTACCAGCTCGCGGCACCGTAAAGGAATAAAGTATTAAGTTAAACCGAAAGTTTTCTCGGTTTCTTCAAACCACATAAAACCACGCACAGTAAAGATCTGAGTGAGTTGCAAGATGCGTTGTATGCAACTTTTCCTTCCCTTTTTTACGGTTATATTTTCGAACCACAATCCTGTATTTTTTGCAATTGTCACAATTCTTCACCTGTCATTTCTATCTGCTTAAAGTTGATCTATTAAAAATTTCGTTCCGAAGTTTCGGAAAGGTTGTGTATGGCACAAATAGAGTAAATCTAGGACTTTAAGTTGATCTTTTTGAATTCTCCTTATCTGCTGTTTTTAGCTTTGAGAAATTATTTCTTCTGAGGCCTTGATTTTTGGAAAAGTTATGAGATACGCAGTTGCAGCAAAAACATGAAAGCTTTGGAAGTTTCTGCGAATTAAAGCTTGATTGTTATCAAACATTATTTATGCAACATAACCAAGTTTGATTTATTTCAAAAAATCAGCCTTTCGAAATTTTCGGTAATTTTACATGGTAAACGTATTCAAGAAGCCGCGGTTTTTCTCAAATAAATAATTATTACAGACTTGATAAACATTGCCCATGTAAACTAAAGTAAGTATAATGTAGCCAGTGGTTTGCTCTACATAACGGTTATCAGCGCTCTTTGAAAACATCAGGATAAAAATTTTGAAGATTCAGGAAAGATTTGGCGTTACTGCTGAGCTGCTCAAAAAGCCATGGCGATAACATTGCAAAGACAGGGAGGATCAGAGAGCATATATAGGTGTAAGAAAGAGGATAAAAATCTAAACAAAATGGTACCTAGGTCATTAGTTGATTGGTGTTCTGTGAGTTTTGGTGAGCGATGGAAAAAAACCGACAAGACTTTCGGGACAACCTAATAAATCAAATTAAAAATAAACGAAAAATAATATCAGGTTGTCCAGAAATTAATGCAGCTTCCTTATGCGGTCGCAGCAGGGTAGATATGAAAATGCGGGAAACATATTCCTTCGGTAGAACAAAGCAACCTGTACAAGACTATATTAGAATTATCGTAAAAACTAAAACTATTATCAGATCTCTGTCTAAAAAGGTTCTATGGACCTTTAACTTGGTCACACCTATGTTCCCTACATCAGAAACTCATATACACACTGCATTCTTACGAAAGCTGATAACTGAAAATTGAAAGTGGGCCAAAATATTTTAAAAAATCGCCTTTTTGGGATTTTATGCTAAATTCGATATTTCTCGGAAACTAGACCTCGCAGAAAGCCGAGATTCTATGGTTGTACTTTCAAAGGCTTGTAGTGTAGAATTACCTATGTCAGAGCAGCACAGCATCGCATTTGCTAGAACATCACAACTTTCGTTTTCTCAGCTTCCGATCGTGGAAAAAAATACAGCAACTGTACATATGTATGTCTGATGTAGGCAGTATATGCGTGAACAAGATAAAAGACCGCAGGAACATTCTGGACGGAAATCCGTTTGAGCACCTGAATTTCCAACATTTTGCTTTCAAACTGCAAGTGGATTAAAGTTTCTACAATCGATTTGATTCTGCTAGCTTTTTGATAGCTTGCTTTGCTCTATCGAATGATATGTTCACATTTCTATATCTCTACTGCTGCGCTTGCATAAGGAACCTGCATTGATTTCTGGACAACCCAATAATATAAGTGTAACAAATAAAATATACATAATAAATAATAATAGTTCTAATGATTATAACAATAATAACATAGATAATAAAATGTGATAATATATAAACAGAAGATTATAATAAATAATTTACGTCACCGTAGATGTACCGTACTCATGAAGACACCTAAAGTTTGCAAAAAATCGATGACATTGATGAAGATAAGTGGTATGAAAATAGCTGATATCCTTCCGTACCCATTCCCAATCCCATAGCTCCAAGTTTGCAAAAAAATGATAAAATCGAAAATCCATGAATGAAATTTTCTATTGGGAACATATATACATACAGTCGAGTAGATTTAGCGGTAAATATAGTGTGCTTGCACAAAAGGTGAAATGCGGTGAAATTGGCGCGTGAAGAAATAGTTTCGACTGTGACGTCGGCCAATTGCGCGCGCAAGATACCCGCGGTACTGACGTGGCTACTTGTTCACGCGCAAATTTCACCGCATTTCACCTTCTGTGCAAGCACACTATATTTACCGCTAAATCTACTCGACTGTACAAACGTAAAGGCTACTGCATGACGAAGGCGCAATGGCAGTGTTAGTTCGGGCGCGAACGCAGCGCGCGCGTATTCTCATCGTTGTGAATCCTGCGCCTCCTGCGCTCTGCGGCTAATAAACCCGCAAAGCGCGTTAGCGCCCAAAAATATTGCGCGTTCGTCATGCAGCAGCCTATACATACAGACAAAGGACATACAAACAAGCTTCATATTCGAGCATTGGTGACATTTGTGACTGACATTTCAGGCTCTCTAATGGCGATACTCAGTGGTCGGCGGAACGAGACTGAATCATGCAATATACTCTCACTCTTGCGTCAAAGGGTTGCCATAATAACGACAGAAAAGTTCGGCATGAAAGCTCTGCGATCGTGGCCGAAGCTGCGGAACAAAACGAGCTCACTGTTGAAAAGTAGGTGGTATTTGTGTGGAAAGCAATTTTTCTCCCCCCATCTCTCCATCAACTCTTTGAGTATCCACATTGTCGCTCACAATTTGACTCATCAAGATCGCTCATACGTTTCAGCCTGCCCAGGACCAGGCGCCGTATGCCGAGTGAACGGTAAACGAACATGCATCTGTCCACCGTCATACGTCTGTGATGCAGTCAAGCAATCTACTATGCTATATTCATGTGAAAAGCTGAAATATTTTGTTCAGTTACGAGGATAAAACATTTGCCATGTAAACTATGGAACTGATACAAGCAATTAAAGTGAATAATATTGATACAAATCATTACGTTTTGTGAATGAACGACACATTAAACGCGCAATAACCCACGATTCATTTTCTTTCTAGCTAGATGACTGCTCCTTGAGCATCACCCAAAGCAAGTGACCCTGCCTAAAAAATACTCAGATCACGCGTAAACGTCTTGTGCTAAAGTGGAAGAACAGTTATATGATAAGCTTTGAGCCAAGATAGAGAATGTATATAATGGCGTTCATGCAAGTAGTTGTACTCTTGAGCATTCATCTACATGCTAATTCCCTATTCTGCTGTATTAGTAGTCAGCATGCTCATTTATTCCCCTCCTGTCCCCCTGTGCCAACTCCCAGCCCCCCTAACTCAAACTTCGCGAAAAATCAATAAAATTGATAAAAGTTAGTAATTCCAAAAATTGACTTGGTATTCGCAATCACGGGTTCACTAAGCCCCTGTGCGAACTCCCACCCTCATTGGCCATGATATGCAAAAAAAATCCATAGAAATCGATAAGATCGATACGGACCGATGACGAAAATTAGCCTGTGGCACCCGCCCCACCCCGAAGTGCATGCGCGTCCAGTTTGGTCCGGATCAGTTCAAAGATATAAATTTCTGTTCGAAACGTACTACAGACGCACAGGCACACAGACACATAGACACACATACAAACCCACATTCAGCTTTATGTATAAGATTGAAGCTCACAGTGCGTTACTCTTACAATATGGCTCTTTCATCGATCGTCGAAAAATCGACCTAACGAGAAAAAGTGAGGAAAGATATCAATGAATAATATAGCCAAGATAGGCCGCGTTATATGGCCAGTTGCGCCGGTTGCCTGTTCCCTCCACAGTAGCATGTATATATACAAGCTTTTTGGTGTAAGAAAGATGATGTACTAGAGAGCAAGAAAGTACGAGAGTTGGCACAATATAAGTGCGCCATTCAACGAAACAAGGATTTCATTTACGAGTGATCTCACCATTCACATCTTACTGTCTTCTTGGCATGGCCGGTCCGCGACGAAAGTCGTCTTGACTCTATACTTGGATATGGTGCAGGGGGAACAGTGCGATGCAATGAGGTGATTATGTCATTTCTCAAACTATTGGCAGACGATGAACACTCGAGGGTGGTTCCTCGACGACTGGTGGAGGCCTCGACTAGAGGCCAGAAGGCTCTTTTGGATGGTTGCTGGATCATCTGAGACGGCGGTGCGGCGACTGCGGTTGCGGCTCGATCGAGATTGCTAGCTGGTGCGCCTGTCTTTTTTCGGCGTCGATGGAGGCTTGACCGAATAAGCGGTGGAGTTCGAATTCATTTGTCCTTTCCGGCATTTAGGGCTACTTGTTTCTCTCCTTAGCGTTGCTGTTTAAACTGGTTGATGCAAGCGTGAATTTCTCCAAACGGACAAGGTCGGTTACGTTGCGCATTCTTCTAGAGAAGGGAGTATAAGCTTAGAAAAAGAGAGCACTTACGTTTGAGCACAGCGAGACATTCTGCTGAGTAAAAATGGGATGCTGTTTAAAAGTTCAAATTTGTTATCGGACGAGGGCTTTGATCGCGATCATGCATGAACTCACAAACCTCTTCCATGTTTCTCAGTTTAGCAAGATACTTTCCTCGTAGAAGGAAAAAGGCAAAGCTTTTTTCGTTTAGAGGATATCGTTGTGGTCTAATGAGGAGTTGCCTCGTTGCCTCCGCATCGTTTGTAACTATACAATCATTCTCGGATTTGATCCCGCAGATTACTAGCGAGGTTTCCATTGATTTAATCCTGTAGATTAGTGGTGAGGTTCCCGTAGTCCGTATACACGTGGACGTACAGAAGGCCACAAAATCAGAATAAGAACGCCATAAATAAGGCAAGAGCACGATCACAGTGTGATTGTGTTCTGTAATGTAATGTAATGCACAAATACATTGACGATGAATGATACTGGTGTGTTGCAATATTTATCGTCTGGAACCACGTGACACACATGATGCGTCATGGTTTGAATCTCGCAAAGACCGTCTTAAGATGAACAACTCCAGTTCTCTATAATTCTCATATTTTTTTACGCGTTAACGAGGTGAAAGTATCATTGTTCGTCGACACCATTTACATCTTATCATCAACTTCACCATTGTGAAAACTGCAATTATTCCATAAGTGTACTAGTCATAACACTCCACCTCTAGAATTTGCGCACAAAGGAAGGTTCAGGCAGATTGACAAGTACGATCGGACTTATATTTAGTTTTTTATTCTGCGCCATAATGCGATCATTCTCAACAGATCGCTTCTACAAGTTAATTTAAACTAATTCATACTAACCGCTCGATTACTTATACATGAAAGAATTCTTTGTGAGGCCGTAGTTCATCTCATTGCAAAGCCCAGCTGGTACACAAGACCAAACGAACCGGAAAACAGACGGTTGACTTTACCTGTGGCTTTGTGCAGCTAGGAAAGGTCCGGGGAGTGAGTGAGGAATGACTCTGACCGTTGTTGATTGGCGGAAAAGCGTGCTTCCACCCTTTGATTCGCATTATTAACCGCAGCACCTGTGGAATGTATACAAGAATTGCAAGTTATAGCTGAGCGATGTGCATGACAAGAGGTCTGTCAAATGTAGAAATTTTGAAGTTAAATTATTGGCAGACAAACGTTTTTTGTCAGTGGTATATCAAGTTAGGGACGGGGCGGGAAAGGGAAGGGTTTCAACGGATCGCAATACAATTAATTAATTAATGATTTTGAGTATTCCAGATTGAAATTAAAATTGTACGAATAAATTGTTTTCATCCATACACAATCAAATGAATTTTAATTTTTTTAAAATTGGTACGACTTCTGTTTTTCAAGATTTTCGAAGTTAATGGTTTAAAAATTATGCAGCTTAGTCATGCCAGCCGAGAAATTGCGAAAAATATATGATTTTCTCGCAGTGTTCCGCGAAAAGTTGGAACTGAGATATAAGCCTTGAATGCAGTGCTTCAAAGAAGTTGGCAGTATTATGTGTGAACAATGTTTATTCCGTATCTTTTCTAATTTCGATCACGTCACGCTTGCATTTTTTTTGTGCATATCGCGGATAAAAGTGCGCAGCTGATGCGACAGGAAGTTTGTGATGGAATGATGCAGCAAAGTAAACTGAAAAGAGGAAGGAATGTCAACGACCCCCCCTCCCCCCTTTGCTGCGCTTTGTAGTACTTCTGCCCTACGCTAGAAACTCAATATTCAGAATGAGGCCGTTTTTTGAGTACATTGATAAGCTCCGTGGATATCGCTGCTTTGAGGAGTACATAAATCTGACGTGTAGTTAGACCTTTGCATTTTGCATGAAATGCTAAGAGGACAGGATCTAGGTAGAAGAAATTAACTAGCAAAGAGATTCAAGTGACAAAGATCTATTTTACTTCATGAAAAAGTGTTCTCTGCGAATAAGTTTAGATAATGCTACTTTTGATATTAGAAAGAATATGAAAAAGGAAACTCTCGCTGAAGAGGTTTTTGGGATAATACAATATTTTTGTGCTGGGTTGGTATCCATAGCAAAAAGTGGGCCAAGCACGATAACAAGCGATATCACAATAATTCATTTGAAAGAAGCATCAAAAGCGTGGCCATGAACTGAATCACTCCATAAGAATGTGATCTCGAGTCAGCGTACCTAATTCTGCTAGCCTTGTACACTGATTCTGACTAACATATGGCTGTGCAATCAAAGTAGAATAGTATGATAACGATTTAAAGACTGTCAGGATTTGGACACTGAGCAGACTTGCACATACAAATTGTGCCATTAATATGCATCGCTGTTTAATCGTTTCTATCTCTCTTCCGAAGAAGTTTTCTTGCTCACCCCCAGGTATCAACTTGTAGAGTTGGCTTCAGCTTAGATTTATAGTATGGAGAGGATGACTGGTGTAGATCAAGCGTGCTAATTCCAATACTCAACACGTTTCGGACAGGTACTGCACATGGTGCAGCACGCTGCTTTGAAGGATTTTTTGACGTTCACAGGAGATTTTCTTCTAGTCCAAGGTTATCAAGTCAAAGGCCTAAGTTCAAGTGACTCTGTAGAGCTGTGCCACCGATATTTGTTTAGAGATATGAGGACGAATCGAACAACAGTTGCAACTATGTGCGACCTTGCAACTTTTCTTTGCTTCGATTTCAAAGAGAAGAACAGTTATTTCAATAACGATGTGTACCATGTACAACATAGATACTTTTGAATACTATCAGAATTCGAGTTGTTGTTTTTATCTTTCAAAAAAGCACGGAAGTGCTTTTTTGAAAGATAAAAATCCTCACAAGCGAAAAAGTTCAAACAATGGAATTCACTCGAATTTTTAGTATGGAGCTTATCTGACGCGCTCATTACAGATATAGCCCACAGTCTACGAAACAAGGTTCCTTTTGTGGGCTAAGGGTTCCTTCGTACTGCGCTGCAGGACGCAGCAGCCTGCCGCAGCACGCGGCAGCACGCAGCAGCATGCGCGTCCTGCGGCGTGCGCCTTTGCAGTCGCAGTGAAAATATAAGCTCGCTCGCTGTGAGGGAACCTCTCGGAGAACACGAACGTGCAACAAATATAGATGTACATCCATAACCGACGAAGCTGTGCTGCTGTGAGCGTATATTTTCACTGCGACTTCAGCGGCGCACGCCACAGGATGCGGCGTGCTGCGGCGTGAGGCCCCGTGCTGCGACAGGCTGCTGCGTCCTGCGGGTGCGCCGCAGCACGCCGCGTCCTGAGGCATAGCTATGCCTATACTAGTATGAAGGAGCCTTAACGGCTGAAAGTACACTCTTCTTCGCCGCGCGCGATTTCGCGGTCCGAACGTGTTAACTTCGTACAGGGTTGTGAAACACGTTAGACACTGCAATCACATTTTTTGGGAACATAGGAAACAGCTGCTACTGTAACCTTTCTAACAAATCAATATGATAAGATGCAAACTTCGTGTT